GTGTGTGTGTGTGTGTGTGTGTGTGTGTGTGTCGTATGGTGCGCATTCATCCTCGGGTGTGATGTTTTTCTGCACCATGCACATCATGCTCCTGCAGGAATTTGGCTATTAATAGGCAAATAGATTATGAAAGGTTTGGCATTTATTAATCAAAGTTTCAAAGATTAGTATCTGCAACATGATCATTTTTAGAAGTGTATTGATTAGGATGAACAAAAACACTGGTCTGTGATAATTTATTACATTTTTACATTATCATTTCTAAAAAGAGCAGCAACTGCATTTTGTAACAATCACCACAAAATGTGATCATGTTATTACGTAATGCGGCAGCAAGTATTACAAAATGCTTTGAAGACTTTTATTACATTTTGCATCATTTATTACATAATGCGGTTGTAGTGCAGTTTTATTACAATTTGAAGCCCGATTTTATTACATTATTACACAATACGGTGTAACTACATAATGCGGCTGACCTCATATCTAGGCTATGACCACGATTATGAGCAAAGTTAGTGTAACTTATGGCAAATCTTTGCATAGCATGTTGGAGAATATCATAAAAGTCACATCATAAAGGGCATAATTTCACCAAAAATTACACTAATGTTGTGAAGAAGCTCTGCAAAACTCAAGGTGCTCATAGGTTAGGAATAAGTTGTTTTTGTCTCATCTGACCACAACACCTTTACTAACACCTTAAAAAAGATTAGAAGAATTTTTGAATTACTGTCTTTTAAGAATTGGATTTTTTTAACCACGTTTTGATGAAACTCAGCTCTGTACAGCTAGCGTGTGGACAGATGCTCCCATTTCTGCTGAAGAACTGCTTCTTTATCAGTGATATTTGCCCTCCTGGACCTTTCTCTGATTAATGCACTCAGTTTTGGTGGATGACCCTCTCATGGCAGGTTTGCTGTGGTGACATAGTTGTTCTGTTTTTTGATAATAAATTCATTGATGCTCTGTGATTCAGGATTTGTTTTAATTTGTATAACCCAACCCTTAGACCAGTGTTTATTCCGGACGTCATCGGAACAGGTGCATACTGTATATACCGAGATCATTTGTCACTTAAATCAATGATTCCCAACCAGGGGTACGTGTACCCCTTGGGGTATGCGAGCATGTTTACAGGAGGTAAGTGGAAAAATTTCCCAAGTGTGTAAAAAAATAAATAAAAATAAGACTGACATATGTTGGGCCCTATGATTTCCGTAATCCTTCAGCCTTTCACACTGTCCAAGGTCCTGAGAAGCACTTTCAGGACCTCGGACAGTTAAAGCAGTGATTCCCAACCAGGGGTACAYGAGCATGTTACAGGGGGTACAAGGAAAAAATTCTTAGGTGTGTAAAAAAATAAATAAAAATAGGACTGAGATATGTAGGGCCATATGATTTCCGCAATGTGGAAATTACAGTCCGAATCACGAAATTAACACAAATGGGATCCAGTAGA